GTTGGAGCAGCACAGTGGTTTTTTTCTGTGAAATACCTCTGTGAAGCACTGCAGTGGGGTGCAACATAGAACAGGTTTAAGACTTTTTAACATATGGTTAGAGCTATTATGGATTTCTTCTGGGAAACTTCATGGGTTGTCCAAGGATCAGGCTGTTTAAGGCAGGTACTCCTTGGCTCACCCTAACACCTTTGCCTACCATGAACCTCCTTGAGCCACAGTATTGTAGTGTCTCACAGCAGCCATGAAAAAGCGCTTCTGAAGGTTCTCAAGGCAGGAGAGTTTGTGTCATTTAGGTAGTCTTTGTACCTATTTTCCTGCTCCTTTCCATGATGCATAGAAGGGGAGAAAATCTGTCTTCTGGCTTCATAAAATGCAAATCCACCCAACAATATTTATTGGATATTTTAAAGTCAGCTGAACAATACTTAGTCACATAAGCTAGTTATGTAGAATACAAATGGCAGTGGTTATGCAGACCTACTTATGGAAGGAAATGCTAATCTATAGAGATTTGGATTCTTCAGAGAAACAGACAATAAATTGTAATAGTTGGGTCCTATATATATATATAGGAAAACAAATTTTTCACTAGCAGTACTGCGTCAGTAAAGGAATCCCTATTCTTATTACGCTCAAATAACACCAAAAATACTGTAATCTCTGTAACATCTGGATTTGTCACTTTTTTCTGCTTTCTCAGTTTATAAAAATACATAAAAATATAAGGAAAAAGTTATTGCACTTGATGCAACCTGATGAACCAGACAATTTGTTTAAAAGTCACACAAAATTATTTGGTACAGCTTCCTGCCAATACATCTGATAAAGACTGTTTTAATTACTATAAATTTCAACAATTTAGCAGTCAGATCAGACTAAGAAATTAAGGACAGATTAGATCTGGTTAATTGAGGAGCCAAACCTATCTTTCATTTGTAAAATTAAATAAAGGTATTTTAAAATATATATAAATATTGCTTTTTTTAGAACAAGTATTATGTGACTTTGTATTTCAGTAAAATGTCTAAGTAGTTTTAAAAAATAAATGACATGATCTTCATAGCAGCTTTATAGAGGTAGGTAGAGATTATTAGCCCCATTAAATAAGTTAAAAATAGCTAAGTACAAAAGGATAAATGGTCTGATCATGTCTCCTTGGAGGTGCCATTGGTACCAGATGAGTAGAACACATTTCTGAGATCTGAAGTCTTTAAATGTTGGTGGCAGTAAGACAGTTCCTTCTAGCCTCCAACCTAAATTCCACAGCTACCTCTTGAGGCTGTTACTCCAATTCCTGTCCCCTACAGATACAGAATAAAATCCATCTTCATCCTCTCTATAATCACTCTTCAGGTATTTAAAGACTGTTATCAAATCTTCCCTCAGACTTCTCTTCTCCAGACTAAATATCTGTAGTTTTATTCAGCCTCAACTCATAAGTGTTGCCTTCTAGGCCCATAACCATTTTGGTTGCTAGACTCTTTCCAAATTGTCCACATCCTTATTGATGTGTGGGACACAAAACTGGGCACAATATTCCAGGGAAGGACTTTCCAGTGCTGAATGGAGTGGAAGAACACTTGATTTGCAAGTGACACTCCTGCTAATATAACCCAGTATACTTTGTTTTGTGGTGAAAGCACACACATGGCTCATTTTCAGTTTATGGCCTTCTGTAACACCCAGACTCTTTTTTGCAGTACTGAAGCCTAACCAATCACTCCCCAATCTGTATTTGTGCATGCAATTATTCCACCCCAAGTTCAGGACTTTGGACTTGTCTTTGATGAATTTCATCTGGTTAATTTCAGACCATTTCTCCAGTCGATCCAGGTCATTCTGGATCCTAGCCCTGCCCTCCAGAGCATCTGCAGCTCCACCCAACTTGGTGTCATCTGCAATTTTGCTAAGTGTGCAGTCTATCCCCTCATCCAGATCATTAATGGAGTTATGAAATAATACTGCACCAAAGACAGATTCCAGGGTGAACCTCCCTTGATACCTTTTCCCAACTAGACATTGAGATACTGGTATCAACTTGTTGGATCGTCGTGCTCAATGGAACATGGAAACATTACTCAATTCTTTTGTCTAGTGTGTATCTTAGCTTGTTAATGAGAATGTCCTGAAAACAGTGTCAAAAGTCTTGGTAAAGTCAAGGTATATTACATCCACTGCTCTTCCTCCATCCTCTGAACTTTATCATAGAAAGAAACAAGATTGATCAGGCATGACTTGTTGAATGAATCCATGCCGGCTGTTCTTGATCCCCATTTTTTTCTAGGAGTATCACAATGGATTCCTTGAGGACCTGCTCCATTGTCTTTCCAGGTATCAAGGTTAGGCTGACTGGTTTGTAATTCACTAGATCTTCCTCCTTTCCTTTCTTAAGAGGACATTGTATTTGCCATTTTTAGTCACTGGGGACCTCACCTGTTCTCCATGAGTTCTGAAAGGGAATAGTCAATGGCTCTGAAATTACTGCAATCAATTCTTTCAGTACCCTAGGCTGCATCCCATCTAGCCCTGAGAGCCTGAAAGAAACTAGCTTTTCTAAGTAATCTCCAATCTATTCCACTATTCTGAGCTGTATATCTCCTTCACTATCTTTGCAGACAGCTGCCCTCATCTGGTAGCTGACTCCATTTGTGAAGACTGAAATGAAACAGGATTTAAATACTTCAGCCTTTTCTGCATCATCCATAAAAAAACCTGTGGCTTCTTTGCCCTTCTCTTGTTCTTGACAAACTTGTAGATTTCCATTTTCTTGCCTTTTATGCCTTTGCTAGCTGCACCTAAAATTGTGCTTTAATTTTCTCCCTGCATGCCCACTCTTAAACTCTTCTCTAGTACTGTGACCAAGCAACTATTGTGAGATTCCATTTTGAGTTTCAACTCATTGAAGCGATTGTTGTCTGGGCAGGCTGGTCTCCTGTTGCACGTTCTTCTATCACATTGATAAGATAATGTCACACTTCTGAGAAAAAAAATGCTAATTAAAATGTTCTTATTAAATATGAAAGGTTGTAATGCATTTTGGGGGTTGAATAAAAGATCAGACAGTGGCATAATTTTACTTATCACACATCATCTAGAACTGAGGGCTGCATTTTCATTTACGACCAAAAATTCAGAATAAATTGGCTTTAAATGTGTCCATATTCTGAGGTAATGGAATCCTCCTGCTTCTCTACCTAAAGCAAACATGCAGTGTAGTTGCACAGCTACCATATGTGTAGACAACTAGTCTTCCAGGTCGTAGAAGGATTATAAACATCTGTTGACATATCTATGCTGCTTTTGACTGTGCTAGGACATCTTGCTGTGCAAATGCACTCCATGCACTCTTTCTCACTCTGCATGTACTTAGTGCCAAAAAAGTACCCACCATTCAACCATCATTAGAGAAGTTCTTGGCATGGGTGTCTGAATTTGAGAGCCTGAAAGCAGAACTGGGCATGAGGCAGATAGCAGCTAATTTGCGTTTTTTTTGGCATTTAGCGATTACAGAACAGAATTGGAATCGACTCACCAGCGGTCAAGTCTAAGTCCTTTCCTCAACTATTATTTACCTCTAGCTATTTAACAAAACTGAACATAGAAAGTGGAAAACTTCAAATCAAGAAAATTACTCCGAGGGTCTTAATTAAATCATATATCTGTATGCAGAAGGAGCTTCTGCATGAAGCTCTCCATTTCCATATGCTCAGTCACCCCATAACAGATGCTACATAAGCCTTTCTTTAAAACTTTGGTCTTTTCTGATGAAGAAGTTGATCACTGGAGCGTACTTCAGGTGATACTAAAAGAATCAAATTGTTTGCCCCCATCAGGACCATGAAAATTAGTTCTCATCTGCATTAGTTGAAGCGCTCTTGAAGAATCCCAGAGATGGCTGCAACAGAGGAAGCCACTGCTGTTGTAGGACCTATAAAGCCATCCTGCTAAGTGAACACAGTGTAGGGGCAGAGAGGCTTTGTACGGATGGTCCATGCTCTCCTGAGAATCATCTTTCTGTTTAGGGCTAGATGCCAAAGATTTTGCTGGAGGAAGCTTTTTTTCAAGAGCTCCCCGCCCTCTTTCCCCCAAATGTTTCTGTATTATCAGTGACACATTTCTCATACCTATGCCGGTTTCCAAGACTGGCATCTTTCAGTATCAAATATTTCATTTTGGACATAAGCAATATTTTTAAAATTTCTATTAACAAAGTTATTGAACTGCCAAAGAGAATGTTTAAGTTCCTGTTTTCCTTGTAACTTGTTTGGAAAAAAAAATTGAAGTAAGTTTGATTTAAAAAGTACTTTCAGTCAATGTGCTATTATACTTTTTATACAATTACTTTTATCCAATAATTCCAAAGTAAACTAACTAATCAAACCTCAAAACAGCCCACTGAAGTACACAGGCATTCTATTCCTTTTTTTCTAATGGAAAAAAACTATAACTGAGAGGGTGTGATTATCATGTGCTCAAGCGATTTGCAAAGCTGAAAATGTACTCACAATTGACTGCTTAAATTGAAGGGTTTAGTAAATGACTCTTATTGACTCCCTAGCATCACTGTAATCAAAATAAATTAATATGCCAATCTTGCATGTGTTCTGAATACTTCTGCCAGCTGATATGCTGCTGACCATCTTCTAATCATTTTAAGAAGCATAAATTGAGTGATCTTTAGAGGGGATATTTGTCTTTTGACTATTCATGCTTGCATGGCATGATTTTCAGTATTATGCACATAGGTTTAGCTAGTAGGTGTCATATACAAATTTTTACATGCTACATTGAAAAAGGATTAAAAACAGTCTCTAAAATATTTGAACTTTTTATGGCTCAGTCTGTTAAAATCTACTTCTACCTTCAAGGTTGTAGTGACCTCTGAATAATAATTTTAAGTCAGTCTCAGCTGCTTCTTTCTGTGTACTGTTTTGAAGGACTGGGTAATAAAATGTGCTTATATTTCACTTTAGATATGGTTTTTTGACTGAGTACCAAAATCTGCCTCAGCTGAGCCTGTAATTTTACTCCAGGAACATCAAATTGTACCAAAGCACTTTTCTGTTTTGAGGAGAGTGGTTTTGTTTTGTGTTTTAAAAACATAACTGTAATTTTTAAAGTTCATTTAAACTCACTTTCTTATTATCCTGCAGGTGAGAGATGACAACAAAAGACAGCACCCATGCTTAGTGGAATTTTCAAAGTTGCCAGAGCAGGAAAGAAATTATAATTTACAAATGTCGCTTGAGACACTGAAGTAAGTTTCTACAAACTACAGCCTTAAATTAAGTCTCTTTTCATGGCACTTTCCTTGTATTTGTATAATAATCTCCTCTTTGGATGGGGAAGTTCTGTTTTTAACTAAGGCACAAGGAGTGAGAAGTGGGTTCAATATGTATTTCACAGCACTTGAGGGAACACTCCATTTCTAACTTTTGATTTTTCTTATTCTAAAATAACTGCTTTAATTTATCAAACTTTGCCTACAGTGTTGGGCAGAGGAGTAGGGGTGGATTAATTTATAGAAGTATGATTCAGAATCTGAAATGTGGAAGGTTTTCTAGCAACATTCAATGAACAGTAACAGTATCCCATTCAGTATTGGGGTAGGTCACAAATATTAGTGTTCCCTACATTTTTCAGGCCCCGGTCTGTAGTCCCCTAATCTAACTCAGAAAAAACAAAGTGGTTGATTATATATAACTGCATATTGCTTATTTTATTTTAGTGTTGTTATTACTTAAAATTTATAGGCCCAACGAATTAAGCAAATGGAAGATCACTCTGTAGCATTTGTCTCCATGCTGCTCTTTTAAGGCATCTAATCACTGGCCTGTTCCTTACTGGGACATTCCAAAGTGCTAATTGCATTGTACTTTGGTGGCTTTATCATATAGACATTAATTCTCTAGGCACTTGAATGAGATTGTCAGATTCATTTCATTTCTGCAAGTCTGCAGAAGTGGAAGCATAGTACATTAATCCACTCTATTTAGTACTATTGCTGTAGTGATTTGAATTGGAAACTATTTTTAGTGCAGCTTGAAAACTCCTTTATCCCCCACCTGCTCCCCCCCCCCCCCCCCCCCCCCGCACTACATCCTTTCTCCTGCTCCAGCTCCCCCAATATGGTTTCGACTTCTCACCTAACATGCCTCGATATAAAAGTTTATACACTTAGTTATACACTTTCAGAGGCCTGGATTTGGTCTTTTGTGCCTTGCTTCACCTTGCACATATTTAGGCTGCCAATCTGCCTAATCATCCAGCCCTAACCTGAGCAGGACTCCCACTCTTTGTCTCCATCTGCTTGTCCCTTCCTCTCACCAACAGGCTACCTTCACGGCCCTCACTTTCACCTGTCCTTGCCAGGCTACCCTTCAGAGCACTTGCCCCTCTTAGGCCTTCTTCAGGAACTGGTCCCCAAATTCAGGGTGCATCCCTGGCATCTATTGTGATAGCACCTCTCCTAGGGCATCCCTTCATGGCCTCCATCGTTTCTCATAGCTATGCCCACGTGTCACAGGTCTTACTCTAATTCCCTTCACTGGGGCCTCTGGGCCCTTGGCCACATCTTAATGTCAATTCACTCAGCCCATGGAGTTCCTGACCCTTGCAGAGCTGCTTCCTCACTATCTTATTCCCCTAGATCCTTGATCTTTGCAGGGTTCAAAGCACAGAGGGCCTCCCATGTATCCCTGTGGCCTCCAACTGCCCCTATAGTCAGAGCCAAATCCAAGTTAACACAAACCCAAAGCAGAAACAAAAAATAAAACTTATTTTGCTGTACACTGCTCCCTGCTGAGTTCCTTCACTTGTGGGAATCTGGGCCAGAATAGGAATTAAAAATGTATGCAATATAGTAGCTCACCATGACTTGAAAACAGTAGATGATAAGGGGCACTCGACACTGAAGGGTACTGCATGTAGTGGGTACCACTGTGCATTTTATTCAGATTGGCTGTGTTAACCTATTCTTGTGGGAGGTTTCCATCAGCATGTTTCCCACTGTGGGCCATGTCTTTTTATAGTCATGCTCAGTGTGGGATGCATTTAATCAACTTCATAGTTGGCTTCCATTACCGAGCAAAGTTGCTTTTGGCAGCAGCTTAATAGTAGAACATGCAGTTAATGAGATTTTCTTGTTAGCAAATGTAAGGTGAGGCTTTCCCCTCCATACTAAATAGCAGGCCTATGCGAAGCTTACGTCACTGATTTGATTTGGCAGAGATTTGGCCCAATTCGGTGGCCGAATCTCCGAATCCAAATTGAATTAGGAGACCCTTTAATCTCTCCAAATTGAATCGTAACTTTCTGAATTGAGTCGGAGAGATTTGTAAATATTCGATGATTCAGACATAGACACAGCTTTAAATGTTTTTTCTACATATCTCTAGGTACCAGATAGCTCCTGAATGCTGAGATGGTGGGGTGGATGAAGTGTCCAGAGGAGCGCAGGGGGCGTCCCCCAGCTTGCTCGGCAGCAGACCCAGAAGTGGACCAGAAGCACTTCTGGTCTACTTCTGGGTCTGCCGGGGAGTGCACAGAGGGCCCCCCCCCCAACCTCCCTAGCTCAGCAACTGGTGCCTCCTGGGTCTGGAGAGGCACCCAGGGTCCCCCTGTGGCTGACTGCTGAGTTGGGGGCTCGGGGGGGGGGGGGGGTGCACTCGACGGTGAATCTGGAAATGGACTGGAACTACTTCCAGTCCGCTCCCAGGTTTGCTGCTGAGCATGCAGGGAGCCCCTCTGCGCTCCTGTGGTACACTCCACTGCCCCACTACTGCAGCATTCACAAGCTACCCCTGGTACCTCAAAGTGTGTAGAAAAAACATTCAAGCTGTGTCTGTGGCTGAATCACTGACTGTCTGAATCAGCATCGAATCTTCAGATTTGGCCGAATTCAATTGGGACAGTGATCTGAATCAACTAATTGAATCACTGTCCCTGATTCAGGCTGAATCTGAATCAAACATGGCCCATTTTGCACACCTCTACTAATTAGGAAAAAAAGGCACATTTTGTTTTTGAGTAAATACACTACTTACACTCGATCCCATTCCTACACATGCTTACATTTCTATTTTCAGTTCCTCTTTCATTCTGTTTTTATGGTTGTTGTTCTTTGGTTTACTCTCCTTCCAGTTCCATTTATAGACTTAATTGTGTGTGATGGCTATATGTGTCATATTATGCTTAGGACCATATTTCAATAATGTTACTTTTGTGGATTAGCACCTAACTCTGAGGGGCCTCCAACTGATTTCATTGGATCTATTTGTTGTCAGAAGGGCAATTAAAATCTGACTCCAAAGCTCCAGTTCCCACTTCTCCAGTTATGATTATCAAAGGGAGATAGTTATGTGTGTTTTTCAGAAATGAGGTAGGGTGTCATTTCAGATCATGGATGGCCAGGTTTGGGGGTCATTTGTGGTCAGAAAAAGCAACTAAGATCTGAGGGAAATGCACAGAGTCTGAGTATAGGGGAGCCAGAAAGCCAGGAGCTCTATCTGAGGAACTGAGTCAGAGATCCAGAGGGTTGAGCAGAGAATGAGTTCAGGAGGTCAGCTGGGTTAGGTAGCCTAGAAATCAAACCAGAATCAGGTTAGGGAGCCAAAGGTTCAGACCAGACTTTGGGTCCATGGGAAAACTGGGTTGGGTAGCCAGAGCATTTGACAGATAGCTGGTAGAGGTATAAACCAAGGCTGAGGATCGTGGGCACAAGATTGAACCTTGTTGCCCAAACACTTTCTCTTCCAAGTCACTGATTTTACAGGAAGGGGTAGAGAGTCAGTTGGCCCTGGCTGGCCACTCTGATTGCAGAGAATGGGTGAGTGGTTATATCCAGATATCTTGTTCTGAACACCTGTCAGCTCCAAAGTTCATTTTGGGAAGTGATAGACTCGGATGAATGCCTGTGCCAGACAGGCTGAGGCCCCAGATTTAGGGTCATGGCCTGACGCAGTAGATTTGAACTTTATTAGATTAACTAAATCAGAGATGTATAAGATTTTGTAAGCAGTGGTTTACTTCATCAGATGCTGTGAAAGGACTGCAAGAAGCAGAGTTTCTGAAGCTCTGAGAAGTTCTGCTTCCTGCATTCCTTCATGGCATCTAATGAAGTAAGCCACCGCTTATGAAACCTTATGCAACTCTGATTTAGTTAGTCTATTAGGTGCAAATTTACCCAACCTTCTCCTTGATTCTAGTCCTCTTTGTCCTGGTGCAAGTTATAAAAGGAGAGAGAGTGCTCAGATTTCCCTATTGGCTTAAGATCATTTACATCAGTGGAAACTTAGGTGCAACAGAGTTCATCTCTGTCCACCTTGCTACCTTCCACCAGTCTCTGCCACCTTCCCATCATTGTGGATGAAGAAGATGGTATCAGAGGCAGATATACTGCTTCTTTCAGGTTTCCTCTACTGAGGATCTATATTGCTGGCCTTTGGAAAAATGGAGTGTCTGTGTCTTATGGACCTAATATATCTGTAAACTCCACACAGTTCGCTGGTTGACAAATAAGTCTCTCCCTCTGACTGAGATCTCTGGAACATTTTTGCACATGGTAATTTGAGCCCATTGTCTTAGATTTAATATTTCTTTGCTGAGGGCCAGTAGTGATTGAATCTATTAATCACCCAGTCTTATACTGTGTTGCAGTAATTAAAAATGATATTCCCCAAGGGGAGTGTTTATTAGTTTTCTTGCAAAGCTCAATTTTTAACTTTTGGAAAATCTTCTTTTTCAGATAAAAATGCAGCAATTTTTAAATGAGAATGTGCCTATTAAAAATAGAATAGTCTTAATTCCTTATTTAAAGGTAACTTATAAGGTCTGGGTTCATAATAAACAACCATGCAATTCACTTTATATGAACGTTAAAAAATAAGACCTGCATGAGAATCAGTTGGAGCCTATGGCTCATCAACCTGAGCAGCAACACATATAACAAAGCAAGAATGTTCTAAACAAGAGATAAGCCTAAATCAAAATTTTGCATTCTGCCCTTCTTGAATGGTGGCAAAATTGCATCTCAGTCAAACTTTTACATCTCTGAGCTCTGTCTCAATCAGTCTCAACCAAACCCATGCACACACACACTGGGGCCAAGTTTTGATCTGACTGGTACAGAACTAAAGCATTCTCACCACCCCTAATGAGCAAGATGAAACTATGATTGAACTGTGTTTCCCAGATAGGAAGGGTGGGGAGGAGGCTGTGCTCCTTATTAGGGTCAAGGAAAAGGAATACTAGGAACCAGGGGAAAGCAGCATTGATACTAGGAACCAGGGGAAAGCAGACCACAAAGCAGAGATATTCCCTGTCTGTTCTCACTGGGTGTATCTACATGTTTAATTAGCATGAAGCAATAAAATCCAGATTTTATTACTCCAGAGTTTGTTGCTCATGGGTATGCTGTTTGAATGTGTGCCTGTGAGCAATAAACTCCAGAGTTTATTGCCATTTGCACACGTGCCTAGGGCTATAGCATGTTGATCTGGGTCAGAGCAATCCTGGCTGGCAGAAGGCCGGGGGGGTCTGATATGTTTGCCAGCCCAGGTCTGCTCCCCCCAATTCATTGTGCTGTGGAGGGGCTGGCTGGGACATGAAGGAGTTTCAGCATGTGGCTAGCCAGCAGGCAGCCCCTGCACTGAAGCATCCTTGTGCCCCAGCCAGCTGGGGCAGCATCTACACATGTGCTGCTGCCGAGTATTTTACTCTGTAGCAGAATAGTATTTGTAAAATATGGACACGTGTAGATGCTGAGATGTTTACTATGTGGCTAATTAGTCTACTAATGCCTACTGTGTCTCATTACTTGCTCAGGGGAGAAGAGTCACAACTGATTTATTCCAGTTGATTCCCCCCAGCCTCCCCAACAATAATTTAGGCTTCTGTGCTTTGCTCTAGCCTTTTTCATCTTATTTGCCCCAGATCATCTTCCTGGGCTTGAACTGAATGAACCATATTTCCAGGATAATATGGGTCTAGTTTTGGGAATCAAGAAGATTTTTTTTCCTCCATTGGACTAAATTGGCTGACATTAAGTATTTCCTACCCCCAACTTCCTTGAAGTATCAGAAAGCCTCGTCTGGAATAAAAGAATTAACTATTAAAAATGTAGGAATGGGTAATTGTCAGTCTGCAGTTGGTGTTCAGATAATGGAAAAATGGGATAGCTCTGACAGATAAATGAGACCTCAGAGGGAAAACTAAAGTCTTTATAACCTACGTCTCCCACTTATTCTCTCTACCTCCTCAAAGCACCTGGTAGGGAGGGTTGGAACTGAGTGCTGTGTTAGGTTAGGAAGGTCTAACCTTGGTTTTATATGTAAACCTACACTGTACCCAGTTATATGTCTGGTGTGTGAAATGGATGGGTATACATCGCCCTTACCCAGTATTAAGGTAATAAATTTGTGGTCCCCACCTAAAATCCATTTATGTATCTGTTTTTTTTTATTAATTTGCATGTCCTGGACACATCCAACCACCTTATAGGAAAATGTGTTAACCTTTCTAACAATACACTGTTGACTCAGCTGCTTTCTTGCACAGATGATAATCCTACTGAACCCATTTTAAAGTGAAGGTAGAAGCTATATTAGACAAAAGAAGAGTCTCACCCACTTATTTGGATTTGCCAGAATCTGAATTCTCTGTAGAGGTGGTATACTCTTCAGGTGATAAAAGAAAAAAAAAAAGACCTTATTTCATTCTTTGGCCTTTGGCCCAGTAAAGGAGGAATATTGGCATGATTCAGAAGAAGCCAAATATAATTTTTCTTTTTTACTGAGGTCTGTGACATACAAAGTCTCTGAGAGTGAGTTAATGGAAAAAATAATAATTGCTAATTGACTCTATAAAAGCATCTGGAAATGCTAAAGAAATGACAGCTTATAGTCATCATATCTTTTGAAGTATGCTATGTGGGAATTTTTTTGTAAGGCAAAACCAATCCATGAGTCAGCATACAACAGTGCTTAATTATCTATACTTACTTCACCCAAAAGAGAGTATTGCTATACTAATTTGCTGACTATGAAGAGTCTCCTCTGGAACATGTATGCAAAAAGAAATGTCTTGGATTATACAAGCATAGTGTCTTTTTTATTTTATTAAAGAAATAGGCTGTAAGGTGGAGAGGAGGCTCTTTTTCTATCCAACTTGTTTAGTTACTGTTTGTTAGTCTATATTTGAAATCTTTATCCCATATAAAACTCCCATTTTAATAACAATCTGTTCTAATGTTTTAAATTGATTACTTAGAAATGGCCTGCTAAATTGTAATTTTCCTAATACTGCCAAGATGTGTATAACAACTAAAGATTTTTACATAAAGACTAAATGCTATAATGTTGCTGTCATTGATCTTTTTTTTCCTTGTGGAAATGTATGTATATAGGAACTTAAGAATGAAGGAGTGAAAGAATCCTTCAGGCTATCAAATTCAGGCACATCATTTTATAATTCTTATCTTGTATAGGAACAGATAGCAATGTATAAAGCTTTACATTGATTTATTGTGGTTTTTGCCTTCCAGGACCCTCTTAGCATTAGGTTGTCATGTTGGAATTACAGATGAACATGCCGAAGAAAAAGTGAAAAAAGTTAAACTTCCTAAGAAGTAAGTTGACATGCAAGTATATTTTTGTATGAAAATATGAGAATATTTTGTTTTTATACATATGTAATACACATATGCATATACACACAGAGGGCTTTGAATCCTACATATAAATGTTATACAGCACAAATTCCTTACAAAAAACCTAAGATTTAATGTTTGGACAAGCAGAAAAATAGAAGTGGATAAGAACTTTTATAATGTTCATTAAACTGACTGACAATTAATGGTTCTGGCATTCCTTTTTAGATAGCACTTGCGTTGGAGTTATAGGATTTGAAGAGGAGAAATGGTTAATAAATTTTTTTCAATATAAAAGTAACATTCAGTAAAATTTTGACAATTTTGAAATATGTCAAAAAGTCTTTTTAAAATTAAGACATATAGTGGTAGTGAACCAAACCCAAAAAGAATGCTAGAAGAAAGTACCTGTTTTTTAGATCAATCGTTAACTGAAATGTCATTTAACATTACGGTTATTTTAAGAGTTTTAAGACTGCTGCCTCATACAATATAAAGATGAATGCAAAGTACAACAAACAGAATAGATGAAGCCAACATGTGCCAATCAGTGGCGACAGTACAATTTTTACTTTGAAATGTATTATATACCTTTTATGCCCCATTAATTATGTATTTTAGTCCAAATAATAATATATTAAGCATAAGCCCAAACATACTATAAATATGTGAACGTGAATCTGTTGGGATAGTAACTCAAATAGTATTATTTTATTATTTAGTATTATATTATATATATATTTATATATTATATTATATTATATTTAGTATTATACTATAGTATTATAGTAACTCAAATAGTAATCATATTTATAGTAACTGGCAAGTGCAGGGTGCTGCACTTGGGCAGTAGTAACCAGCAGCACACTTATAAGATGGGACACTCCCTTCTTGAGAGCACGGAGGCAGAAAGGGATCTTGGAGTCATTATTGACTCCAAGATGAACATGGGCCGACAGTGCAAGGTCATGGTCGGCAGGGCTAACCGGACCCTATCGTGCATCCACAGGTGCATCTCAAGTA